GATCAGTTGTCTCACATGCTGAATTTAATTACAATTTTAGTGGTTTTGTATTTTGACATTTTTATTTATGGATTGGATATGGTCAGTTAAATAAAAAAGATACACAGAATTTAACCCAATTAAAAAAACTGACCTAACCTAAAACTGCCTACTATTCCTTAACTCTAACATGGATAAACCTACATAAAAAACAGTGGCCAATTAATGTACTCAAAATTAGGATTTCAGGAAATCCAGATTAATTTTGTACAGATTAAATTGCAAACCAAGACCTGGGGTGTTCTTGTAAATAAACACGAGACCACACTGGGTGGGGCTGTCCTGAGACCACACTGGGTGGGGATGCCCCGAGACCACACTGGGTGGGATGTCCCGAGACCACACTGGGTGGGGATGCCCCGAGACCACACTGGGTGGGAGTGTCCCAAGACCACACTGGGTGGGATGTCCCGAGACCACACTGGGTGGGGATGCCCCGAGACCACACTGGGTGGGGATGCCCCGAGACCACACTGGGTGGGAGTGTCCCAAGACCACACTGGGTGGGAGTGTCCCAAGACCACACTGGGTGGGAGTGTCCCAAGACCACACTGGGTGGGAGTGTCCCAAGACCACACTGGGTGGGAGTGTCCCGAGACCATGCCCCAAGACCACACTGGGTGGGGATGCCCCAAGGCCACACTGGGTGGGGATGCCCCGAGACCACACTAGGTGGGGCTGCCCTGAACCTTCACCACTAACCACAGGAATGTTCACGGCTTCTTTTAAAGTGAGCAAATGGCTGCTACCCAAAACTTAAATTGCAACCTTGCCAAACATTAACTACGGTAATATCAGTGTTTGGTCTCCCTCCATATTCTCTCTAAATGTGAGCTCATATATATATAAATAAATATAAATAAATATAAATATTATATATATATATATATTTATTATATATATATATATATATATATATATATATATATATATATATATATATATATATATATATATATATATATATATATATACACACACACATATATATACACACACACACACACACACAGATATAGAGTACATACATAATCTATACTGTATACAGCACTGAATATATATTAAAATTTTAACTTGTAATATAAACAACTGTTATACCTGTATATTTCTTAAAAGAATAACAATTGAAGCTATACAGCTTTAAAAATAGTTATGATAAATCTTTGAAAATTATTAATTAACACTCCTTTGTTTAATATTATCACTGTGTCACAGTGGAGGCAGGAGACAATGTGTACTGTCATCTCCTTGGGCGACTACGACATCATTCACCTACTTAACGTATGATGACTGACCCTTATTTATGTGCTCCACAAACAATACAAACATATTAATTCAGAAGGGTATGGCCCCATTCTTCAGAAATGACCACTGTAATCTAATTAAATTCATATAAAAGTATTCAATCTGTCATTGTGTAGTTGCATATTGCAACTATATATTCTAAACACTTCAGTTTTAAAATTGAGCTATGGAACAGCAAAAATAAAATTACAAATAATTTTTGGTAAGACTGAACTTAATTGCAATAATAAATATCAACACTGTCTAACCAATACGTTTAGAATTCCTCTTGCAACTTATAATTTGTCTAAAGATTGGTCTTGCACAGTCACCAGTCTCATCACTGAGTCATGATGGTTAGGAAGGCCATCATGCAAATAGTATTGATTCGAAGTTGTAATTAAGGAAGTTTTTACAATGAAATCCAAGATGGAGCAAGATTAAGATGTGTTTCTTCTGTTGCTTGTGATGTACAAATGTCAGTAATTGGGCACCAGTTTACCTATCTTATGTTGCAGGCTATATACTCACACTTAAATATATTTTATGTGTATTTTAACAATTGCTATAAAACAATATAGCGATGTTATATTAGTGTGTTAAGTATATAACTTCACACACATCAAATGGAAGCCACAAAAAACTTAAGGTAATGCTATTTTCTAACCAAAACACACACTGCTTGTTATCATATATCAAATGATAGTTTATGAAAAGGAATAGAGTAATCTTGACTCCCTTAACTATTGCATTAGTTTAAGATTAATATAACAATAGTGAAACAATTGGAAAGAAAGGTTATTGATACCTGACATTTTCTGATACCTGACATTTACCGATACCTGACATTTACCGATACCTGACATTTACCGATACTTGACATGACGTTCTTACTGATGGACAATCCCAGTGTTTCATTTTTGAGCCAAAACTCAATCATATCTAATGAACAAATCCACAAGGGCCGTGACGAGGATTCAAACCTGCGTCCGGGAGCATTCCAGATAGCTCAGCCTTAATCGACTGAGCTACGACATGGTCAAGCTACGAAGGAAGGCGTTTTGTTCATTTGATGCATCACACAATTGTGATTTCTGTGTCAATCATATCTATATCACTATCTTCTGGTTTAGTAAACTAGGAGGAGAAAAACAATGGGCATTTGTAGCCTAACAATATAGTGTTCCATGTAAACCCTTCACCAAATGGAAGACAAATGACAAATAAAAAGCCAATATTTATGGAAAACAATTACAAATTTGGGTTTTAAATACAAATTATATTGAACGTTTAAAAAGTCTGATAATGTTTTACATATTGTTTTCTGTTGCCAACTCAAAAATAAAACTATCCCAATTTAATTTGGATGTTAGCTTATTATTAAACCAGTATCTTGTACAGCACAGATTTAAAATTATACTAATCATCAAGTTTATAATGGAATATTTCCAGTACAGTAATTGTATATTATAAAGGGGTCATCTTTCCTTGCATTTCTATAACCGGCCAACAGTAATAACTTCCTTGCTCCATAATCTCCTCTTCCATAATCTATGAAACGTTTATTGTAACATTTTATTACTTGTCATTTGTATGTATATATATATATATATGTATGTACATTATGGGTCATATGTACATGTGTTTTGAATTACATAAATGTAACTAATGAAGGAGAGTTAAGCTTGTGGTGTCCCATCCTATCTTTTATGTTCTTCATCACAGAGTTGTCAAGCATCAGTGTTGGATCACCCTCTCATCTCATTTAGTCTATTTGTTTACGACTCTATTTACAAAAGTGTACTGTATTCTCAAATGTTTTTGCAGCACTTATGTTTTCAAAATTTGTACCTGTATTCACATTCTCAATGATGCAGGATTTAAAAAAAAAAAAAAATGCCTCTATTAAATTTTAGGAATACTTTTGCTGATACTTGTATCAGCTTATATTTATGCATATAACTTTCTAATACAGTAATATTAATATGGTTTTCTTGAATATGTCTTATGTGGGGAATGGTCCCCTACCTCCCCTCTGTATATGTACCAACAAATTAGTCTGAAGAAAATGAAGCTTATAAAATGAAAGAGCTATATTTTACATTAAGTAAGTCAACATAGGTGTTTCCCTATTGCCGTATTAGCCTGGTAGGAAATGTTGCGAGACTGGGCGAGAAGGTCTCATTACTTTCTATTGCCATCTCTCACACAAAATTGTTGACTAGGAGAATATTGGAGGGGGGGCATCAATGGCGGTGTTTTTGCTTCTTAGTTCATTTGTCTTTGTCAATGTAATTTATATATACAGTACAACATTAGTGAACAATGATATTTACAAATACTGCATAATATACTAAACACAAATAATATACTACCTTAACTATGAACTACTGTACATACATATTTTCAGCACATTCTCTCCAGCATTTAGACATTCACTCTTCCCCAACACACACACACACACCCTCACTCCTCCCCCAGAGCATACATCCTTCCTTTTCTTCCTAACACAAACCTATCATTTCAAATACCAAAATCCTTCCCCTCTGCAATTTGTTCCATCAAAACTGGGAATTGTTGGCATAAAATTTGTTAATTTACCCACAGAAAGGCTGAGTGCATAGTTGTGTGAGAGGCACCTGGCTGTGACTGCACACCCTCCTCTCTCTGTCTCTCTGTCACTGACGAATACTTAAATCATATACAACTTTTTTATTTTTTAATTCCAATCATCAGTTCCATAGATCTGAAATCAAAGTTTGATGCAGTCTTCATGGGCTCAATGTCTGCTGTCATTTGTGGGTACAATCACCTAAGGTGGGATAGGGATATGCATCTTCCATAGTGAATGAATAGGAACCGAGACAGAAAGGGCCTGCCTGAACCTGCCTCCTTCAACATTCCGTGACATCTGTGGACAGTGTTTAAACTATTTGGTACCAGTTGGTATACAAACACTGGTTGAAAGAATTTGTCACGTAGCTGGTATTTAAGGGTTAAAAATATTGATTTCTAAATGAACATATCTATCAATACTTTTAATCTTTATTTTCAGTAAGTTGATTTTATTTGTAACTTGTTTACTATGCTGTAATCTCTTCTACAGTATTACATTTTGATTATCAACTGTTTTTCTTCTCTTTTCATTAATAGTGTTGCTTACTTTGCCCAAAACAAAAGTAAGGCTTTCCTCGTGTTGATCTGAGAAATCATGAAAAGATCTGCCAATGTCTTTATTAGATGTATATAAACTTGCCTCCTTGTTAACTATCGTGGAGAAGTCTGTTGTGTACAATACTGGCATGTTTACATTCACATCTCTTAGAACGATGTGAACAGTACAATCCCCCCCACGGTAGAGCGACGGTTATACTTCATGCAGGTTTGCGTTCAATCCCCCCACCTTCCAAGTGGTATATAGTTGTAATGGCTTGGCACTGTCTCCTCATATTTCCCTTCCCTTCTAAACATGTGCTTTTTTCCAGATTATATTATAAAAATTTTGCCTAATGAAACACCACATAACCAAGATCTATTCTAAGAAAAATCTTTTTGTGTGTAATATTATATTATATTATATTATATATATATATATATATATATATATATATATATATATATATATATATATATATATATATATATATATATATATATATAATTTATATTATATACTCTCACACACAAACACACATACAGTGGTACCTCAGTTTTCAAATTTAATCTGTTTCCAGAGACGGTACGAAAACCGAAATGAATTTTCCCACAAGAAATAATGTAAATTGAATTAATACGTTCCACACCCCCAAATATATTAACTAATAAATACATTTTATACAGAATAATACTCTTGGGTACCTTACCTTTTTTGAGGACTCTTGCTGGTGTATGGAAGACAGTGAGGAAGGGGGGAGGAGGAGAGGTGTTAGTGTTTGGAAAGGAAGTCCTCTTCCATTATAACAGTAGTGATAACATTTCTGGGGTACTCTCTCTTATTTCTTGCAGGCATACCACTTGAATCTGGTTGTGGCTCACTGCTTGCTTGTCTTACTAAGAATCTATCTATAGACACTTGTTTTTCCCTACGTTTTAACACTTGTCTGTAGTGAGACAACACATTGTCTCATTATGAATGATCTTTTTTTTTTCCTCAATCATCATCCTCACAACTATTTCTTAGATTGAACATTACCACCGACTTTCTCGGAACCCATGGCATGATAAATAATAAGAACTTTTATGTTCAGAAACCAAAAAAGCATAAAGACAATGAAATTCTTCACAAAGAATTCAAGGGTGATCATCACTAGCTGGGAAACACTGGTAAACTGAAGCGCCACACGCTCGGTGGACCCATACGTATATAAACAAACTCCGAACACCGAGGTTAACAATGAGTACCTAATCAAATTTTTTGAAGAAATTGAGTTTGAGTACCAAAATATATAAAAACAGGGGCATATGAAAACCTAGGTTCCACTGTTACTGGTATATGTGTGTGTGGGTATATGGATATATATATATACAGTAATTAAAAAGTAAGATAGCACTCCGGTTGGGAAATCACTCTTTATTCGTCAACAATAATGGCTGTGGTAACAGGCGTTCTCTCTAAGTCTGAGAGTGTCATACAACAAGCAGTCATTCATGTCTTCCTGCCACAACCTTTAATTAAAAGTAAAGTAATCACTCCTGCAACAGCTCTCACCACTTTATGATGCTGTTACTTAATTGTAATATAACGACATTTTGTCTTCAAACATCCAAATTTCTGTTACTTGGCCTGCATCATGCACATGATTTCTCAAAAGGATATCTTCCAAGGCATTCAAAACTCTTAAAAGAAAAGTTATCACTAATGGTGTGCTCATATAAATGCACAAGCACAAGGTGCCTGTCCATTGTGAATAACCCAAGAGCAACACAGGTTGTGTGTTGCACATTATTCTCATACCACAAGTCTGCAATGGCAAAAGTAATTAGGTAGAGGACAGACTAGGGTTCCTGTACCTGCCGAATCATCATTTAAAAACTTCAGGTAGTATTCGTGTAATGTGTATCAGTCAATTAAGTATCTTTCTCCAAAATCTAGCACCTCTCTTCCTAGATGGTGGGTGTGACCAAGCCAGAAGCTATTATCAGATCATTTTGCATCAATCTTTACCCCACCTGTATCAGTTTGATTCAGCAATGTCACATGATTCCTGTATTGTCTGGCTTTACTTTTGAGATCCCAAAATATCTTCTGACACTCACACCAAAGTAGTGTCAATTCTCTTACCAGCTGACTTTAGTCTAGACCAAGGGGATCGACCCAGTTTCGTCTAGTGCAGCTTACCTTCTGATCAAAATGGCACTTAAGTTAACCTAAGGAACTTGACTCCAATCAAATTGTACTTGTAAAAATCACCAGGGTTTTTGATTGGTTGCCTTATGCTCCTCAAGTGTAAGTGCCACATGTGCTGTAAATATAAAAGCACCTGAAACAAGAAAACTTGTGCACCATTACCAGCATGGAAGAACTCCTCACAGCTGTGTGTACATGTGTGTGTGTACGCGGTCGGACTCATTGGGTGGGCGTAGAAGAACTTGGTTGGTAGGTGACTTCGATGAGCCACCAGACTGGGAGATTCCTTGTGACCTTTGAGTTAACCCAGAACTGGAGTTTGACCTTTGACATGGTGGGGGAATTGGACTTGATCTTGGAGAGGACTGAGGAATAGGACTTGACCCTGAGGAGGATTGTGGACCAGAACTAGACCTCTGAGAAAATGGGTCACTTAAAGAAGTTGAAACTCTAAGGTGAGGATGTTGGGGAGGTTGGGATGTGGGAGAAGGTGGGGAATACGAAGATGCTGGTGCTGGAGGGCACTGACTGCACTGTTTCTGTTGTGGTGCCACTGGAGAAGGGAATTGTGGTGCGGCCATCTGAGCAGTATTGGCAGTGGGAGTGGTAGCATACTGCGGGCTGGGATTTGGAGTTGGTGTTGGTGAATAGTACTGCGGGGCCATGTTGGTGGTGGGCGTGAGGGCACGTGACAGAGCATCTCGCAGCATTTCTCGAAGTTCACTCCGTAGGCTGCTGACAATCTCCTTTCGCAAATAGTCCATTTCCTGTGGTGCCAGCAGGCATCCTGTCAAGTTACCTGCCACACATCACATCAGTTAATATCAGTTAAAAATTCTTGACAAAGATAATGCATAATACCAATAAAGTGGGTGCTTGTGTTCTCACATGTGCACAAGTATGCCTTCAAGACACACTCATTAAAATACTGTATACATTACTTAGACTGTTATTGTGCACACGGTTAAATCTAAGGATACTGAACATAAGGAAATGCTTACTGAAAAATGAGAATTGATGCCAATGTAATTATTGATTCTCTTGTATTAAAGCCTCTCTCTCCTACCTTACCAGAATTAATGTAATATATATTTATTTGTTTGAAGGAATAAGATATATTGTATTGATGTACATAAATATTATATATTAATATACAGTAATTATAAATTCATTTTTTATGTTGACCAAATAATTTGTTATGCATTTCAAATTGATGATATCCAAATAATCTTTAGTATTTCATTTTACTATTACTGAGTTGTACTTGTTAATGATGACCCAGCTTCCCAAATGACGACTACAGTACCGTGTACATGGCACTACGGATGGTACATTGTTGACAAAATGGGAAGAACAGTACTGTGATTGGCACTAGTTGGTATAATGATGACAAAACTCTACTAAACAGCATCATATAGATATGCATGACCACACAGCACTTACCCACCATCTTCTCCTCCCCCCCTACCCAACCACTTGGACTGGACGGTAGAGTGACGGTCTCGCTTCATGCAGGTCGGCGTTCAATCCCCCGACCATCCAAGTGGTTGGGCGCCATTCCTTTCCCCCCCGTCCCATCCCAAATCCTTATCCTGATCCCTTCCCAGTGCTATATAGTCGTAATGGCTTGGCGCTTTCCCCCTGATAGTTCCCTTCCCTCCCCCCCCACACACACACACACATTTAATTGGGGGAAAATACATCACGAAGCACTGTAGTGAAGTAAAACCAAGACCAAATTTAGCTTACAAATTGTGTAACAATAATAAAAAAAAACTTGGCTGAGGAAGGAGATTTAGGGTTGATGTTTGATAGTAAGCTGGTATCAGAAGACCGTATCAAGGATGGCTAATTTAAAAATTGCGTTTATAATACTGTATGTACATTAATGGGGAAATGTTAACAACATAGACAAGACCTAAATTAGAATTTGCAGCAGTTACTTGATGTCAATATATATGTAAAAAAAAAAAAGACTAACAAATTTGTTCATCTTTAAGTGATCACATTCAGACTCGTCAACACTTTGGCCCGTTGCAATTTGTAAACACTTAAAACGTGTTCCCTGATCATGGTTTAACAATGTTAAAACAAACAAAAATTTCAGAATTAATTTATTTTCTTGTGTACCAGCTGGTTATGTAATTGAGTGTACAGTGTAGGGACTAAGCTTATTTTTTTGTAGTTATACTTATGTTTTTAGGCTATCTTCCAAACACACATTAATCTGAAAATGTTGTTCTAGGGTAGCATGGGTTTGGGTTCCTTAAAACTGCAGTTGATGAAATTTATATACGAGGCAGGACTCATTGAGCATAATTTCCTTCCTGCGACTACAATTAGGTACACACACACACACACACACACAACCAGCTAACCAGAAAGACATCACTTACACCAAATTTATAAATATAACCGTGTAATAAATACACAAAAATTAGAGGAGGAGGAGGAGGACAAAAAGTTTGTGAGAAGTGTAGTCATTCAAGGATCAGTGCTGGCACCCGACATGTTCATTATACAATACACACAAATGACATGTCGGAAAGAAATCAAAATTATATAAGTACAGAACAGTTTATATGAAAAAGATGCAAAGATGTGGAAATACATGAAATCAATGTGTTTGTAATACAGTACTATGAGACCTGGCTATCTTATGTGAATGTAGTAGAAGATAGAAATGTGGGAAAATGCCTTAAGTGAATGAAATGGGTTATAGTGGATATAGACCTCAAAGAAGTTGCAAACCGTTTGAATATATATGGTTAGTAAATTGAACAGAAAGTGATCTAGGGGTGATTATCAAGAGCAACATGCTACCACCAGTGGGCCACATGAGTGGCAATGTTGAGAGAGGTATATGTGAAGCTAGCAAATATTAATGGGGTAAAAAATTAACAAACATATTTGCTAGCATACATCGGTAAGTAAGGTAGTGCTGAAAAATATATTTTACCATATGCAAGCTCATAGCTGGAATATGCAGCAGCAGTAGTAGTAATAATGTGTTTTCTGTATTTAAAGCCAAATTTACTCATTATCTCAAGTTATGCCCAAAACACTAGCATTATAAAGATACAAATACTGTACCTACTAAGTAACCACTGTAATCTAATGCTCTGTATTTCTTAATAATAATAATTAATTACTATTATTATTATTATTATTATTATTATTATTGTAATAAGGACCTCAGGAACTGAAGGTACCAAATTGGTAGGCAGAAGAGCGAGAGGTGATATGACAAAAATGTACAAAATAATGTTAAGGTCTGTCTCCGAATCTACCCATCTATCTACTATCCATCTACTATCAATCCATCTATCTATCGCAATTTTCTCCCTCTTCTCTCAAAAAAAAAAAATAGATTAAGAACTGCTGAAACAACTGTATTGGTCAAGGAAATTATAACAAACATGACCACCTTAACCAATGTACTGCACAGACCGCCCTGAGGCCCTCTGAGATGTTTTCATCACTCTCTGTTTTGAAATGAAAATGGTTAAGTTTGGAAACATTTTGATATAAATTTTACCTGAACATTTATAAAAACAACAAAAGTATGTCCTTGACAATTGCACTCTGAAGTTTTTGCAGAAACCAGGTGTGCAGTGTGGTGGTTAATCTCACACACACACACTCACACCACATTTCACACTGGTCTCCTTGAAAGACTCCATGAAAATGTTCCGGGAAAGTTTATAATTGTTAATAATTCTTGAAGCACTTAACATAGACCTACCCAGATCAGTGTATGTCCATCCTATTACTCAAATTTGCAGGGGAGGAATAGTTTGAGTGAGACTAGCCCAAAGTGTCTGGCCTCTAATTTAGATAGAATACACACACATGGACAGACAGACCAACATACATACATACATATATATATATATATATATATATATATATATATATATATATATATATATATATATATATATATATATATATATATATATATATATATATATATATATATATATATATATTTATATATATTTATTTTATAGGCTTAAAGCTAATACAAAATTTAGAGCAAGTTTTAAATTACATGGTAGACAGTCAATTTTAAAACTAGTGACTGAGGTACAGAATGGGAAACTGAACTAATTTGAGAGTTAAACATAATTACTATATATAACATTAGTGTATATATAATAAATTACTTCCAGTGAGTTAGCAGCAAATGGCGGGATACTGTATACTTTTGATACCTATACTTTTGAAAAAATTACAGGCTGAACAATATATTTGACTTTATTAGGGAAGGGAGTTCTACATACATGGTCAATTGATTTGCACGGCATGTTTGCAAAGATTTAATATGACTGGGAATATTAGAGAAGTATGTTGACCAGGCCACACACTAGAGGGTGAAGGGACGACGACGTTTCGGAATATCCTGGACCATTCTCAAGTCGATTGTGTAGTGTGTGGTCTGGTCAACATACTTTAGCCATGTTATTGTGACTCATCGCCTGCATTAGAGAAGTATTCATTTCTGATGTGATATTCATCAGCTCTATTACATCCATCTAGGAAGAGTTTCAAATCAGCATTAGAATTATGGAACAAGACTTTGTAAGTGTAAACAGCAGAAGATAATGTGTGGAATGAGTATAATAAGAATGATTAGGGATATGAAGTGAGTGACTGTATGTTGTCCGATGACAGAAAATGTTATAGTTCCGATGGCTGGTTTTTATTGTGTTACAGTAATGGGTTTGTGGTCATTTATGGTGGTCGAGTCTCAGACACAGATAAGAATAATTTAAACAGGGATAAATTAGATATATATAGCGTGAGAGGAGCAGACTTGGGGTACATAGTATCTGATTTTTAAAGTATGCTATCTGTTTGTTTTGAGATATTTTTGGGTATGTACTCTCACTGCTGAAGTTTAGTCTAGGAATCTTCCCTTATTTTTATTGTTAATGCTCACATGACTTATTTGAAGTAATATTTGGGTAGATGATTTGTTAACAAGTAAAATAATGTAATCGGTCTTTTCTATGTTTAGTGTGAGGTTGGTTGACATCCAGGAGTAGACTAACTCAATGTTAACTAAAGTACATTATTTAAGGTATTTGGGTTTGGTGCTAAGAGAAGATGAAGGCAACAACATCAGCAGGAAACAGTATAAGTTTAGGAATGTTATAAATATTTGTTAAATCATTATGAATACAAGAAATAGGAGAGGTCCTAAAATGCTGCCTTGTGGCACTCATGGGGTTACTGGGAAAAGTTTTATAGGGTCTCTTGCAGTGGATACCTTTCAGTTCTACTGATCGAGGTGAGGGGTACATTTAAATCTTTTTTCCCCTGGTTCAATTTGTTGCTCTGGGTTCTGTCCAGTCCAGAGTCATAATTAGAGGGTGATCCTTTGGGTTGTGCTTTGGGTAGACCCGGTTTCCCTTCTTCCCTGTTCCAGGGCTCAGGTCTCCCAGGTCGTTCACAGGATTATTTGGTCCAGCCAGCCTCTGGTGTAAACTCGTGCCCATGACGTTCTCAAATTTGCTGCTTTAGCTGGTGTTTTTGGTACTATGTCTTGGGCTGACATTCGGGTGCGAGGATTTTGGAGGTCAAACAAAGTCCTGGCCGCCCATTACCTCGTTAGTGTTCCTGGCCCTAGTCTGGAGTGTTGATTTGGGTCACAGGTTGCAGCCAGTTGTCTCGACTTCGAGTTGAGATGCGAGTGGCAGCCGCCTCCTGGGTAAGTCCCTCTTTACTTTTTCTATGGTTAGGTAGCTCTGAGCTAGAGGGGCTCTTCTTGGAAAACCAACGTTGAGTGCAATGAAACGCCATTTTCTGGGTGAGTCCCGGAGGCAACCCTCCCTCCCTCCGGTTGGTGGTTTTTCACGATTTGATATTCAACCTCTGAACTGAAGTTGGGTAGCCAGTGTGAGGGGCCTGGGACTCCCCCTTTCCCCTCCCAGGGAGAGAGGAGCTCCGCAGACAGCGGCAAAGTGGTGGTTGTGACATTATGCTTGTTTGCTTGTTTTCTGATTATGGAGTTCTGCTTGATAGTTCGATTTTTGGTAGCAATTTTATCCTGGTGGAGTCTGTTTTGGGATGACTACCTTTCGGGGTGCCTAACCCAGTAGATGGCAGACGTAGAATTCTCCCAACCTCACGGGGGTTTCTAGAGGCCATTGCTCCTCGTGCCTCTCTGAGGGAGCCAGGTTCTGGCGCGTGGTCCCTGGTAGGCTAGAACTCCAATCCAATTGACTGATGCCACAATCTAATACAGTATGTGCATATCAACTCGGTATAGCTCCGGGGAGCCTCTGGGACTCACCCAGAAAATAGGGTTTCATGACATTCAACGCTAGTTTTTTATCATGTGGCATTGGCAGAGTCACTAGTGCTTGCATTCAGTGTCGACTCTTCTTTTGCGCCATTCCACAAGTTGTCTTGTGCATTATTTTCACCTCCAGCCTACTCATAGTCCTCTTGAGCCATCCTCATCCCTTGACAAGGATTTGGTATTTATTTCCTCACCTTGGTTTACAGTTTCACCTCAGCTTGGTGTTTTTGTTAGGTCTTGCCTCCGGCTGCCATGGGGGGAAAACCTGCTTGATGGGGTTCTGGGAGTTCTTCTACTCCCTAAACCGGCCCGAGGCCAAGCCTGACTAGGGGGAAGCTTTATGCTCTTCTCTGGAGGCATGAGTTTTGCTTCTTTGGCCCTAATCGGCATTTTGTTCATTTGCAGCCTTCTACTTTTCTGGTGAAGAATGAATTGGTTGGTTCCTTGAGGGGCCGTTTGGTGATTGATGCTTGGTTGGTCTGGCTAAGGGTGCATCATTTGTTGTGTCCAGTTGTGGGCTCTTTACCCAGTTCCAAGGCTCGCATTTTCCAGGTTGTCCTCAGTATCATCAAGGTTTGCAAGTTTGCAGTCTACCCATAGACTCATGGTGATGACAAGTACACCACAGCAGTCTTTTCCAAACATGTCCCAGGCTGATATTTTGTCTCAGGTTTTGGCTGTCTAACAGGGTTCTGACAGCTCAGTCTTTGGGTAATGTTCCTGGTCCCAGTCAGTTAATTTAGTGTTGCTTTGGGCTATATCTTCTGGCTGCCTCTCCTTCTCCCCGATAAGTCCCATGTTTTCATTCTCCATTGTTAGTTAGCTTTTGGGAGCTACTATGGGGCTTCCCCAGAAACCCAGCATAGAATGTAATGAAATGCCTCTTTCCACTAGAGCCCCAGTGGCTCCCTGATTCCCCTCATCCAGGCATGGGGCTAAACACAAGGTTGAAGTGCTCAGAAATACAGAAAAATTACAAAATGATATGTAATTATTCAGTGTCACTTTCTTAAGTACTGTACTGTATAGTTATGGGATGAGACTGCAGCTTGTCTTCCTCATAATCTTTGTCATGTAAGATTTGAAGCTTTAAACAGTGCTGCCATACACTACCCTCTCATTTTATTTATTCCATCTATCTACTAGTACAGTATTTTGATTTTGAATTTGAATTTGTGGAACAATTTCCATTAGTGTTTTTGACACTTTTTGTTTCAATAATTTGTCTCTATGCCCACTTGCTCTCAATATTATGAGGTTTCAAAAAGTTCTCTTTTACATTGATACCCCATTATAATACAGTACATAGATACCCCTTAGAATTAGATTTTGTACAATGTGATCATATCTCCTGCATTTCTGCCTATTTTGGTATCCTGGGCACTTTTACCCACTCCTCATAGTTTGTTTTTTTTAGCTTAGGGAGACATTTTGTGGCATGTGTTTGTACATTCATATTTTATTTGTATTTTTTAAGGTATGGACACCATACTAATGTTACATATTCTAGCTTAGGTCCCATGAATATCAAACAATATTTTACCCTTGCAATGTGTGGTTTCTTGTACTCTAGTATACTGCAAGTTTCTTGAGATCATGTGTGGTTTATATATGCATCAGATCGTGATGCTTCGAATAGCATGTGAGCCTGACGAGCGTCAGACTGTGATGATCCGTCTAGCGTGTGAGCCTGACAAGCATCAGATCGTGATGCTCTGTCTAGCGTGAGAACCTGACAAGCATCTGATCATGATGCTCCATTTAGCATGTGAGGCTGACAAGCGCCAGACTGTGATGCTCCATCTAGTGTGTGAGCCTGACAAGCGTCAGATTGTGATGCTTCATCTAGTGTGTGAGCCTGACAAGCGTCAGATCGTGATGCTCTGTCTAGTGTGTGAGCCTAACACGCATCAGATTGTGATGCTTCGTCTAGCGTGTGAGGCTGACAAGCGTCAGATCATGATGCTCCGTCTAGTGTGTGGGCCTGACAAGTTAACAAAGTGTGTGGGGAATTTTTTCTTACTCTTACTTAGGCAGACTAGTAAAACTTGCTTTAACTGATGCAAAATACAATCTTCAGGTCATGAAAAATATAAAAACTTTACTGATATTTGCAAAGCTTTAAACCAAATAGCCCATGCCATTGCACAATTTATATAGGATCCAACTAGGTTATTAAGAGTCCAATATAGTTGAAAAGAAATTATAAGGAACTAACTAGGTAAACCTTCTGTCAAATATGACAAATTTCCAAATTTACTTACAGCAACTAGCAAATATACGGGCATGAGTAGCCAGATACAATGTTTTGGAGGCCTTACTAAAATTAAATTGATGAGCAGAGGGGCAAATATGATAGGGAAGAGCTAAGGAGATTAATAATTTATTGTTACGTGCTTGGAAATGGCTAAAAAGTGACGTGTGATGAAATTACATGAAAGGAAAGGGAATATATGGATGAAGCTAACAAGAAAATAGATTCAATAAAAGCAAAAATGTAGGGGGATATGGGAATGAAGCAGACAAGAAGAGGGATACGTACCCACGGGAAGAAGACTTTGAGGTGAAGGAAGACCCATCGATGCTTTAAAGAAAAACATAAACTAGGCTATACGCTAACCATAGTTGCCAACTGCTGTACATGTGAATGAAAGTAAACTATATTTTTGGACACTTTTAATTGTGCAGGTATTCAAACTGCAATGGCAGAGCAGTTTTTTTTAAATATATTACAAACACTAATTGTCTGAAGTAGAGGTGGCAACCTGGGGCCGTGGAAATGCAAGGCGTATTAGGACGCTGAAGGATTTCATTTAGAGGCAGAAGCTGATTAAGTGAATCTGCTTTTAATATCTTGTCAAATCATGTGTGGATGTTTCTTACTCTATTTCTTAACTGATCCTGTTATCAGAGTTTAATGATTACCCAGACTTGCTTAGCATACTAATGTATGCTAAGAGTATAGAGTAAGAATACATTTATTGTATTAATGCATACTAATGCATCGTAAGAGCCACAATGTTGGACAAATACAATCTAAAGGTTGCATCTTTAAAATGTAATTGGTGGTTTAAATTCTCGTTAAGTGTCAGTTTAAAAGAAGCAATGAATAAATGGAACCTATCCACTGCTTTGAGTCTCCAAGACCACTCAAAATGTTTGGCACCCAGTCCTAAGGATATCCTTAATTTCTTTCTCAGCCCATATCATTAATTAGACGCGAATAATTTCACTCTCTATAAATTGAATAAAATCAGTGTTCAGCATAATGAAATGTTTCATTCCATAAGGACCTCACACGGTCCTTACAAGTTATTAGTGTCTGGATACCGCCAAGCCTAATGCATTCCGTAAGGTCCTTACAAGTCATTAGTGACTGGACACCTCCGAGCCTAATGCACCCCGCAAAATCCTTACAAGTCATTAGTGACTGGACACCTCCGAGCCTAATGCACCCCGCAAAATCCTTACAAGTCATTAGTGACTGGACACCTCCGAGCCTAATGCACCCCACAAAATCCTTACAAGTCATTAGTGACTTGAGACTTCTGAGCCTAATGCACCCCACAAGGTCCTTACAAGTCATTAGTGACTGGACACCTCCGAGCCTAATGCACCCCGCAAAATCCTTACAAGTCATTAGTGACTGGACACCTCCGAGCCTAATGCACCCCGGAAAATCCTTACAAGTCATTAGTGACTGGAGACTTCTGAGCCTAATGCACCCCACAAGGTCCTTACAAGTCATTAGTGACTGGACACTTCCGAGCCTAATGCACCCCGCAAAATCCTTACAAGTCATTAGTGACTGGACACTTCCGAGCCTAATGCACCCCACAAGGTCCTTACAAGTCATTAGTGTCTGGACACCCCCCAAGCCTAATGCACCCAGGTCTAATGCGCAAAGTCCTTACAAGTCGTAAATGCCCTACTAGGGCCAGGCCAGAATCTGGGCCCCTCAATAGGGGACAAAGGTGAGTCTGAGGGCACAAGATCAATCCAAGCTGAAAGAAAAAAACCACCAGGAAGATACAGCACATCAAAACAAACAACTGTATGGAAAACATTGGAAAACTGGGAGGGTGTTTTTCTTTTATAGCATTTGCAAAAAGGGTTAAGATGCACTTTACTGATGTAGCTCTGTAATTTATTTGAAGATAATTTTAGAAAATGTTAACCCTCTACCACCACCTACCTGTCTACCCCTACCACTATGTCCACCAGCCTGTCAACCCTCTACCACCAATTCCACATACCTGTCTACTCCACCCACCTATTTACCCTCTACCACGAAATCCACCTGCCTGTCAACCCCCTACCACCAACCCACCTGCCTGTCAACCCCCTACCACCATGTCCACCAGCCTGTCAACCCCCTACCACCATCCCACCTGCCTGTCAACCCCCTACCACCATCCCACCAGCCTGTCAACCCCCCTACCACCATCCCACCTGCCTGTCAACCCCCTACCACCAACCCACCTGCCTGTCAACCCCCTACCACCATCCCACCAGCCTGTCAACCCCCTACCACCATCCCACCTGCCTGTCAACCCCCTACCGCCATGTCCACCAGCCTGTCAACCCCCCTACCACCAACTCCACTTGCTGATCAACACCTTCCCGCCATATCCTAACCTACCCACATTCACCTGCTGCCACAATGTAAGGGACTATGCATTGTATTGTTATACCCTGTAGCCAGTGATTTTGAAACTCCCACCAAGGCAGTGGGCATGTTCATCATAAGAGAACTATTCCCCTCAAAAAATGGGCAAACAATGGTCCCTGGCTTGAAAGAAACAATTCCATGTACATTTGTGTGGAGAAAACAGTATTTCAAATATAAGTGTTAAATGTAGAAATACAGTTTGAAAGTCTATAAGAGGTTTTAAGAAATAATAATTGAATACAAAAAATGTTGGAATGTTTGGCAGGAAGGTTGAGGGGGAAACGAGGCAACATTCGGCCATTGCAGCGGGGGACCGTCGTGAGAGTGGATGGTTGTGACCCTGCTCGAGGCTTTTTATTGATCTCCCTCCTCCTCCTCCAGCTCATAAATACACTACTGAAGATTTGTTTTTGTGTAGTGCTTCCTTTTTATCTTTTAGCTTAGAAATATCTTTTGTGGTACATGTAAATTTATGTCTATGGCTCCCCAGCTCATCCTGGCAATGTCTTGATATCAGTCCTAGTGTGTGTTGACTATTGTAACCTCTATGTGGGGTCTTTATATATTCTATAGGGTATCCCATGTGTAATATAACCTGCCTATACCTAAGCCAATACAACTAATCCATTGTTAATATATTCAGTCATGTGCACTCTTACGGTGAACGGAAATTCAATGCTGATGTTGTGAAGGATTGTATAGTACTGTATACCTCCTTTGGTGACAAGGTCCTGGCCTTTGATTGACTAAGTTGGTTCTTATCCTAGTACTCATTCTGTGTTGTCAGTAAAGTAACGTTAAATAAATATTTTATAAACCAATTCTTAAGGCTATTGAAAATAAAAATAATTAATTCCAAGCTATTATTTAGACATGAATCTGTGTGTTTATAAATAAAATGGCCTTTAACAGCGAGAAGGACTAGTTCTCCATCAAGGTACGTCCCATCAAGTGTAGCCTTAAGTTGTGTTCGATTTGTGTACATGGACTTGTACCTTCGAGAAGGACTCGACATTCTCAAGAACACTAATTTCCTGTAGTAATGTAAGGATAGGTGACAAATGCTCGTGTCCTTACAGTTCACCCCCCCCCCCCTCCCCCTCCTCCTCTCAGCATCAATGGTCTAGTTATTACAATGTCAGGCAAACAAAAAACATCTATATTGAATGACTACCCGCTCAAGCACAAAACTGGGAGTTTGCCCTCGTAAAAAAATAAAAAAAATAAAAACAAGAACAGTAATCATATTTTAAGATTACAAAAAGTTTTATCAGAATTTATTTTGTATGCAGGAAATATATACCTTATTTTTATGAGGTGTCAAGTGTAAGTGGGTAAGTTGTTATATTTCTCCCCTTGGATCCTTGGATTTTGATAAACAGTGGGGAAAAAGCACCCATTTGCCACCTCTTTCACAGCAACTTTATTTTCTATAAATCCATGAGCAGTGTACTGTACTATCTACTCAGTGAAATAATTCTACTTTTCCATTTATCTAGTGCCAAAAGTCCACATTTTTATTCAATTTCTCATTTGCTTCCAGATATATTTTTCATCATCCTCATCAAACAGCAGTACACATAACTTACAATTCCAGACTGTATCACTTTGAAATGTGCATTTTCTTCAGATAGATCTTGCCATTCCCTTCCAAAATGTCTGTTGCTTGTACTCAAATACAGTAATTTGTCTTAAAAGGTCAATCTAGCAGGCCTTCTTCTTCTACCTGAGTGTCTTTCCCTTTGCTGTGACAAACATCTTATTTACACATGAGTTTCCCCCATTTAGACTTACCTTGTGAATACGTGAGGTTACAAGGTAGAGAGGAGGCTGGAGTGACGGTAATGTCGACAGCAGCCGAGGTGGGCTCGCGGCCTAGCATTCCCAGGTCCACCGAGTGCTGCTGGACAATGCCAGGGGTCCCCAAACTTGGGTGGCAGGGACTAGTCACACCTACACCTATTTGAAATGCATAGAATAAGAATTTTACAGTCATTTATCGGTTACATTTGTGAAAATACTGCACTCGCCAATCTGGCCCAAAAGTGAATCATTTGTCCACTGTTTATGAAGCAGGTACAATACTCTGTGCATAATTATCAGTGGTATTAAATTAAGGAATTAATCTCTGTTATGTAACCCCCCATTTTATTGCAGTTGATTTATAACACAGATCTCTATATTTGTGTATACGGTACTGTAAAAGCATTATAATTTAACTGAATGATCATATAGAATTAAATGCAATTAGGGATAATTCTAAGATCTGAAATTAGCTTAGAGACAACAATATTTGGTAAAGATCTCCAATTTCTTATAAGAGAGTAAGCGGGTGTTGTTAGCGATACTCTCGAGTACGGCTTTCAATCCTGTACCTTACACAATTGTTTAGATAATAAAGGATTACCTGGAGAGTGGATGCAGGCAGGACAGGGCGCAACACTGGTGGTTAGAGCCACAGGGTTGGCTGATGCCCCTCCCACAGCCCCTTCAGTCTCTCGGCCATTTCCTGATCGGGCGGCCGTACGCCCACTCTGCTTCAAGAGTCTCAGGATATCCTTCTTGATGGAATCCATCTGACCGTATGCCCTTGCAGTTTCTCGTTTTCTGTCCTCTCGCAACTCATACCTGCAACAAACTCTGTCCATTGGTAACCTGAAACTGAAGTGTGTGCTGTCTTTTATAGATAGATATTATTTGCTGAATGATACATAATTGTTCAAATTGTGATGAGATTTTCATCATAATACAAATGTTTCATGTTACCTATATTCCTTTTCCAAAAGCAAGCCCAAAGAAGGCATATACACTAAACCTTATTTGTCAGTGATGCTTTCAGGAAAATCTCTTAAACAATGAAATAGAAATTAGGGAAGCATTGCTTATATTTCTAATTCTTCACATTTGTTCACTCGTATCTCAATAAAGCTTTTGTACATAAATAACATTCCTAAGTACAATATTACACTCCCATCACTTCTAAGCACATGTATATTGTGTATAGTATATTTATTCACTTGCAAATGATGAAGACGAGAGGAGATATTACCATTTGTTTCGTAACTGGAAGTATCTTTGGACATGGCAGAAATTGCAGAATGTTTAGGAGGTGCAAATTGACACAAGTTGGCTTTGCTCTCGACTCATAACTGGGGATCCTGGGTTCGATTCTCAGGAGGGACAGAAATGGGGCACATTTCCTTTCAACTAATGCTTCTGTTCACCTACCAGTAAATAGGTACCTAGGAGTTGTGGGGTTGCAGCCTTTGGAGGGTCAGTAGTTTGATCTTGGTGGACCTCGATACAAGCCTGAAGTACATGTACAGTATACACAGGCTTTGTAACCATGACAAAACAAACTATTACATTATTATTATTATAAAGTGTGTGAAGCACACAAATTGCCATGCATGCTTACAAATCAGCAAACCAACATCACCAAGCACAGGACACTTGCCCAACAGCCTAGAATGCTACCCAGGGAACTGAGGCAAAACCCTAGGACATCGCTCAGAGATCCAGTACATACCCCAATGATCCAGGAAACATTCCTAGTGATCTGGAGAAATGCCCCATATGATTTAAAGAAATCCTGGTTTTGGTAGGTAAGTGGGGGTCTTGGAAGCCAAGCACATTCCTTAGGTTTACTGGTGCCCAAACAGGGACAAATGAAAGCTCACAACTCCCTAGGACCCAACTGCAGAGAACGGGCAATCAGGGAGAATTGTAGCGCCAGCCAAACATGTAAGCTGGAGGCCCACCTCAATGCGCCAGGTAGGTTGTGCGAATCAAAGTGCACCCCACCAGCAATAAACACTCCCAACCTGAGAAAAGACAGGCTAGTCCAAGCCAGCCAGCTTACCTGAAGGGCGAGGGTTACCACAAGGGAGGTGACCCCTAAAGGAGCATATTCCCAAACACACCAGGGAAGAGAACCCTGACTGTGCAAGGATGGCACCTAAGGAGCACCCAGGAAAGGTAACCCTGATCACTTGCAGCTCCTAGCACACTAAATGCCTGCCTCACACTACACAAATGCGTTCACAAACAGCCTCAAAGGCAAACACCACCTTACGTAAAACAGGAGATTGGAACCAAAGCGAATTGAGAGGGTGACCTGGCACTGGATACATTAGTATAAGAACTAATGGAGGAGCAGCTGGCTGACCTGGCCTGCCTCCCTCTTCCACACATACAAGGGAGGGAGGTGGGGCGAACTAGCTTGTACAAGTTTTCACAATTTTTTTTATTGTTTGTTTACTTTGTTGGGGAAGTTCTTATGGCAGTTTTGAGGCTGCGGTCTCGTTTCTAGCCAAGCAGTAGTCTGTTTTGTTTCACTGAGTTTCTGAGTGCCTTGCTTTGGTGGTGGCAGACATGAATAACCTTACATAAAAGGTTTTCATAGTGCCACTGCTCCCTGTGCCTCTCTGAGGGGGCCAGATTCTAGCTCGTGGTCCCCGGTAGGCCAATAAGAACTCAGTGACTGATGGCACCTAGTAGTATGGCATTATTTAGTGTAGTAGCTTCAGGAAGCCAGACGGCGCTCCCCTCCAGAAAACAATTTTGACAGTCTCACACAAGAGGGTGTTTTGGAAACTGGAATGTGCTGGAGGGGTGACAGGCATACTGTTGACATGGATGAAAAAATTGACAGAGATAAGGGTGGTAATCAGGGGCAATGTATCAGGCTGGAGAAGTGTTACTAGCAGAGTACACAGAGTTCAGCTCTTTCACCAGTAGTGTTCGTTATCTAAACAATTTACCAGAAGAAACACAGAACATATGAATACTGTGTGTTTGCTGATGATGCTAAACTTCTAGGGAAGATAAGAGACTTAGACAGTTGTCATGCCTTTCAAGATGACCTAGGAAAAATAAGTGTATGGAGCAACACTTGGCAAATGGGATTCAATATAAATAAATGCCATGTTATGGAATGTGGAATAGGAGAAAAGTAGGCCCCACACACATTACATATTATGTGGAATTTGTTAACTATGGCCTGTTCTTTAATTTACAGGTTTCAAGAATTCCTCTTTGTCAAGTTTGTCAATTCCTGTTACTATTTTGTATTTAGTGATCATATGCCTCTTTTCCTCCTGTGTGTGTGTGTGTGTGTGTGTGTGTGTGTGTGTGTGTGTGTGTGTGTGTGTGTGTGTAATTACCTAAGTAGAGTACAGTATAGTTACAGGATGAAAGCTATGCTCATGGTGTCCCATCTTCCAAGCACTGTCATATAACGCTTTGAAATTACTGACGGTTTTGGCCTCCACCACCCTCTCACCTAACTTGTTCCAACCGTCTACCACTTTGTTTGCGAAAGAAAGAGGCCCACCACTAATACTAGGCTCAACCTGCGAAGCATGGCCGTGCAGGACCCTCGAATGTGTGTATGTGTGTGTGTGTGTACATATGTACACATATGCTGTATAAGGTTTATTTTACATAAAAGTGGGGTTGCATGTTTTATATCATGCCTAAATGTAAGTCCTTAAAAATGGGAAACTGAAACTACAAGTTGTAGCCTTAATCACCTAGAAGCAGTGTGTCATAGTGGTAACACAAGTGCCCTTTGTCTCATAAAGGATTTGGTCTGAATTTGAGTCTTGGCCAAGAGGATTGTCTAAGTACCAATCCTTAACTGTTTGCCCCTGTTCACCCAGCAGTAATTAGGTCCCTGGTTGTTAATATATTGGTGGGGGTCATGTTCCAGGAAAAAGTTCTGGGTAAGGCTAACCATGAGCTATGAAAAGAAAAAGCTCTCAGCCTACTAACTGGAGTCAGAAGGCATCTGTTTCTGTACCTCCTGTGTAATGGAAAAACAAAAGTGAGAAGATAGCAGCATATCCCCAAGCTGAGAAGATAGCAGCATATCACCAAGCTAAGAGGATAGCAGCACATCCTAAGCTAAGAAGGAAGCAGAGCACCTGAGCTTATGATAAAAGAAAGCAGAACACCTGAACTTATGATAAAAGAAAGCAGCACATCCTAAACTAAAAAAAAAAAAAAAGAGTGATAGGAATGAAGCACACCTGAGACTGGAGATGTCCTGCTTGATCTCTAGAAGATCATCCTCATTCACTCCATCTTGGCGATGTTGCTTCTTGGTCTGGTGTATATAGCGCGAGACCAGACGACGCATCACCTCCGCATACCTGTTTGACTGGCTCATCCGACCAGGAGGCGCCCCTCCCTGCACCACAAGGCATCAAGGATGTGAAAGGAAGGAGAAAGTATATACTTATTGTGGGAGATGCTGCATGAGGTGTCTGTCTATATGTGTGTGATGATTATTGACTTAGTTATAGGAAGAAAGCCATGCGCATTGGTGTCCTATATTGGATCAAAATTAGTTTTGCAACTTGCAATGATTTTTAGCACATATTCCTACTTGAATTCATTCCACCAACTTGCTGATCTATTAGGAAATATAATGCAGTACTGTGTAGTACTATTTTGTGGTCCTTTGCACATTTCATCTACTTAACTCTGATTTTCAAAAACCTCCTCCCAGTCTATCTTTTTATCATGTATGTTGTGTCCCCAGTGTTTTATTCTGTCTTCCCCCTTTGGCCACATGCAACACTTTTAAAGTTTTCCTCATAGTTCATATTATTCCATATTGCTTTTCTATGTTTCTTAACCCTTCAATAGTGCATGTAGTATTCACAGATTAAATATGAATAAAATGGCATAATGAAATGCCTCTTTCTATCAGAGCCCCGGTAGCTCCCTGAAGCTATTTTTTTTTTATGCAGGTGGGTACAGGAACAGATGACTGCTGGCTCCTGTTAGCAGGCTGAGAGCTTTCCCATCCTTTAGCTCATGGTAAGCCTTACTCACTAGTTTCCCTCAAATATGACCCACCAATCATTTAACAACCAGGTATCCAATCACTGCTGGGTGAACAGAGGGGGTAGTTAAGGATTCGCAGCTAGTCAATCCTCCCTGACCAGGATACGAACCTAGGCCAAATCACTTGCGAAGCACAGGGGGTGTGTGTGTTACCACTACACCATGGGGACTGTCTTCCTCAGATTACTCCATATTAAAAGGTTACATCAGTCATGGAAGGTGTGTTTGGTCACTGGAGACCAGAGCCAGAACCTGGCTCCTTCACAGAGCTGCAGGAAGCAAGTGACATTTCACCACCCCTCTGGGAACACATCCAGAAAGTCAGTGAAGCTGTTCAGAAAACTGGAGGGTTCACAGAAAATGAAGCCTTGAAACAGCCAAACAACTCTGCAAATAATTCACATAGAAGAGGGGAGACTTATTCCAATGAGTTTGAAACCCTTTAGCACCATCAGGCAGCCTGGCCCAAGTTCACAGCTGGCTCCCCTGACCAGCTAGTTTTGGAGCTGGTGAACAGGCCACCAATGAACCGACAAACCTAGAGAGAAGGGCAGGAATCAGGGAGCCACTGGATCTCAATCATAAAGAGGCTTTTCATTACATTCAATGCTGTGTTTCTGGGGAAACTCCCTGGTGGTTCCCTCAAGCTAACTAACCACAGAGAACAAAACTGGCCCTTTCCAGGGAGAAGAGAAACTGGACTGGTTGCACAAAGCAACACATGACCAACTGGGACCAGTAACATTGACTAACACTAACAGTCTGCCAGAACCCTATTAGAATGCTAAAATCCTTGAGCCTGAAATTCAGCCCAGGAAATGTTGGAGAAGACTGTGGCCAAAGCTGCATATTTGCAAACATTATGGGCCCAAGGGTAGACTGCAGGCTAGCTTTATGGTCCAGCTGGAGGGGTGGCCCCCACCGGGGCCAAAAGAACAACCCCCACCACCAAAGAGGAGCTTGAAACTCCCCAACCCTGCAGTCGGTGGAGAAAAAAAAACAAAACCTTAAGAAAGATATCAAAAGCCGAAGGGGAACTGTAAATCGAGGCAAGGACAGAGAAACAAAAACCCGGTCAAGAAACCAGGATGGCACAGAAAGAGCATGAGCCAGCTGAAGATGAAGAAATGCACAAGACAACTTGCAAAACAGTGCTGTGGAGGTGTTGACACCACACCAAAACAATAGTGACTTTGCCAATGCTGAACGATAAGAGGTTTCAGTTTTGAAAGTCATTTTACAGCATGTCTTTCTAGTTAATTGATGTGCTTCTTGAGATATGAGCACAATACAACTACTGTACTGCATATTCCATGTTTTGGTTTCACAAGTCATGAACAATTTCTTTAGTAAAGTACTTCTCCATCTAGGTACAGTATTTAAAAGCAATTCTGAAGTCTGCAAGCATAGCAAAGGCCCTTCTTACAATGCCCTTGATGTGATCCTCTGACAGTTTACTATCTAGAACCACCATTAGATTTCTTTTCTTTGGTCAAATTCTTGAATATCTTTTCATATAATTTGTAGGTTGCACGTGACTGATTATCCCTATTACACATTGCATAATATGATATTTATTCATATTGAGTTCCATCTGCCAGGTAGTGCTCCATTCATTTATTTTGTCAGGTCATCTTAATGGGCATGACAGTCATCTAAGTCTTTTATTTTCACTAAAAACTTAGTATCATCAATAAACATGTTCATATAATTTTGTAACCCCCTCCTGTATATTATCCCCCTGTATATTTGTATGATAGGGAGCCGGTCGGCCGAGCGGACAGCACACTGGATTTGTGATCCTGTGGTCCTGGGTTCGATCCCAGGCACCGGCGAGAAACACTGGGCAGAGTTTCTTTCACCCTATGCCCCTGTTACCTAGCAGTAAAATAGGTACCTGGGTGTTAGTCAGCTGTCACGGGCTGCTTCCTGGGGGTGGAGGCCTGGTCGAGGACCGGGCCGCGGGGACACTAAAAATCCCCGAAATCATCTCAAGATAACCTCAAGATAATACTCTGGTAGAGCGTTTATATATGGACATTGAACATTACTGGTGCTAGAACTGAACCTTGTGGTACTCTGCAAGTAAAAAAAATTCCAATCTGATACACTGCTTCCAATTACCACTCTCATTTGTCTGTCAGAAAATTTTTGTCCATTTCAGAAATCTGCCTGTCATCCCTCTAGCATGTTTTAACTCCCTGAAAATTCTCTTGCATGCATATCTGTCAACCCGTCAATCTTTGCTCTAAGATCTATGTGGCTCTATTATAAAAGTGAAGTAGATTTGGTACACAGGATCTCGTTTTCAAAAGCCATACTGTTTGTTGTATTATGTCACTTCTTTTCCAATATTTCAGTTTTCAGTTTCAGTGATAAAGGTCTACAGTTTAGAGCAAGGATTCTTAACCTGTTTCCCTCCACTCACTCTTTGAGGTATCCCCATAATGATAAACAGAAAATAACTAAGTAACATTCAGTTGCATATATTTGTAAGTAGCATCAATAAATGGAAACAATGACTATTTACTGTGTTTCCAAAAACATAAACAGCAACTGAAAAGAAATTTATAGAACAATTTCACATTCTTCATCTGCGGTTGTGTAGTATAAATTTTCAAGCAAACTACAAAACTACATAATTAAGTATTTTTTGGAAAAAATTTCACACAAATTGCTGCAAAACTAGGGGAAAAGTTAGCTATTATCTTAACTTGTTTTAAAATATTACTTATAAGGCCTCAACTGCAAAGTGAATTATTGAGATGACGGGTGCTGCTTTTGTTGTACTGCACTAGCCTCGGAAGCCGAGGAACAGCTCTGACTAAGGCATGTTAAATGTCGGCTTCCACATTGTTGAGATTGTAATAATTTAGACTGCACGAGAAAATTTTTTGAAAGTCTAGATTCACACAAATATTTAGTCAGAGAAAAGTAAATAAGAGCGACAAATAAATATGAAAATATCAGTATTTATAATATGCTATAAATCCACTTCAGACACATTGGGAAAATATATCTCTACAGTAGTTCATTTTGCAATGAGAAAAGATGTTCCGCTATTAAATTTGGCACCACTTCTGCATTAGAGGTATCCTGCATGTCGGCAAGTGTCTCAAACTTTACAGTCTCCGTGGTGTAGTGGTAAGACACTCACCTGGCGTTCCGCGAGGGCTTTGTCATGGGTTCGTATCCTGGTCCGGGAGGATTTACTGGGCGCAAATCCTTAACTGCAGCCTCTGTTTAACTCAACAGTAAAATGTGTACTTGGTTGTAAAAACGATTCTTCGCGGCGGGGATCGTATTCCAGGGACCTGCCTGAAACGCTACACATACTAGTGGCTGTACAAGAATGTAACATCAAAATTTCCTTTGCTCACTATTGTCTACCATAATTCTAGTGGTTTCATTAGAAAACTCTTCCGTTTATCAACAAAGTCGGTGAGAAATGACATCGGCCCGTTGTAAAGATTTGTTGAGAGTATTTATGCTAGTAAATATATAAGCAAGATGGGCAAGATGAGTAACCTACTTTTGATCACAAATTTGGCACGATACAACTCAGATTTCTTTTTGATATTACAGCTTCTTTTCTTGACATTACTGAGCAGCTTATTTTCACTGATGAACATTTTAACACCACATTAAACATGGTAATATAAATTTGCCCTCAAAATATTGCTGAAATACTGCCAGACACCACCTTGACCCCTAACAAGGCTAGGTGTAGCCCCTTATAAACCCCTGGTGTAACCCCCTATAAACCCTTGGTATAGCTCTGTATAAACCCTCTGATGTAGCCCCTTATAAATCCCTGGTATACCACCCAAGGGGTACACATACTTCATGTTGAAAACCCCCAATTTAGAGGGGGTCTTCTCCATTACCATTTTTGTAGATTGAAACTCTTAACTTTTTCATTATATCGGCAAGGTTTCCTTTATGTAAGCATGTCTGAAAAATTTATTTGTAGCAGAATGCTCAGCTCAGGTGTGCATTCCCTCAGTACCTAGAGTGAGACTCCATATGGCTGGCCCAACTGCTTTGTTTCTGCCTAGTATCTTGAGCAGCTTTTCTACCTTGAGTGTAGAGAATGTTTTGGTACTATTTTATGCTCTAAAATCTGTATTGTGTCCGATATTTTGAAAACTTCATTTTGCACAAACACACTTTGGAGCTGTTCATTTGGTGTTTCACACATTTACTTTACAGTCTCTGAATCTGTTTCCCAATTTTAACCTCTTGATTTTGTCCTTCATATGCAACTTGCTTTTTATGAATTTATGTAATCGGCCTGGTTCTGTTTTACATTTGTCCACTATCCCTCTCTCAAAGTTACTTTCTGCCACTTTTCTCACTGCTATGTAGCCGTTTCCTCCTTGTTTGGATTGATAATATATTTGTGTGTTAGGCCTCTTCCTATATAATGTGTGTGTGTATGACAGAGGGAGAAAGTAATAATGTATATAGATATCAATACATTACAGCAAATTTTAAATTTGAATATGAATAATACAAACTTAACTAGAATTATAACAATTCTAATAACAAAAATTGAATAGTAGAAAAATTTTCTACTGTATGTAGAAAAAGTAACCAGATACCAAGCTGCTACATTCTTGCATCTCATGCCTTATTCAACTCATATAAGAAAATTGCTATACCCTGTACCTAAACTGTACTAAAAATTTTGATGTATGTACACTGACCTGTAAGGTGCCTTTCTCCATAGTGAAGCTCCTTCTCTTGTCAGAGCGTCTGCGATTTCTCCGGTAACAAATGTACTGGAGACAGTTCTTGACGGTTCTCATAAAGTAGAAAATGGCCTTGGGGCTAATGATGAGGTTGAAAGGTGCGGGCAGGGTGGAACCTGGGTCGAAGTAACTCATCCACAGTTTAGAGCGGGCAAACTTCCATTCCTGATCAGCATGGTCCTGCACAGTGTATTCAGGTGATAGTTGTCACCATATTAATAATGGGATGAAACATAAACATAGGTCATTAATTTAAGTGTTCAAAGCTTTTACGTCTGATATTAGAGCTATTATTACCCTTGATGCAGTGGTGTTAATGCAGGGGAATTTTTTTAATTACCGATATGATTAGTGAATGTCTGTATTTAATTTTTGCTGCAAATATAAAATTGCATGATTTACAGAAATATCAAGATATATGGTACATTTTTCTTTTAAGTCTGAGATAGTGTGATGACGTAAAACCTTGATTACACGTCAACACCCGGTACTCTGAGTTAGCCAGTGGATAATTATGCTCCCCGAACATTAAATATCATCCTGTAACTACATTTAGGTAGATATCTTCATTGTGCCATTGCATATAAAGTTCAATTTTTTTATGTTTCTCATTATTAGGGCCCACAGTTGATAATTTTTAGTAACTTAAATGTAGAGAATTGTGTTTTACAATTTGAGCAACTATCATATACAGTACTACTGTATATTCAATGCAAATAATAACCCACGTATTTCGAAAACAGGACCGCTGAAGAGGGTCCCGGTTTGGGACCGAAATATTCAGTCTACGTTTCCTTGTATTTTCATATTAGTGGGTTATTATTTTCATTGATTAGTGGGCTATTGCACTTCATCTTGTATTTAATGTGTGTACTTACAGTTTGGTGTAAAGGCAAGGTAATAATCAGGAGAAAACACCAAGCCAATACGACTATACAGTGCTTGGAAGGGATCAGGTTAAGGATTAAGGATGGGACTGGGGTAAGGAATGGTGCCCAATCACTTTGACGGTCAGAGATTGAATGCCAACCTGCATGAAGTGAGACCATAGCTCTATCGTTCAGACCAAGTAGTTGGACAGCTTGGAGCAAAATGTGTGAGGCTAGGGTGACCTTTGATCAATGGTTACAAGATTATCAGTCTCTAGAACTGCTTAGTAGTTTATAATAGTTCATAAACATGTACAGTAGTTAGTTATATATAAAATGTGTATATAGTGTTATAATAGCAAAAACAGAGTGTTTCATTAACTAAAGACTATAATAGTAGGAGCAAATGAGTGACATGAATGTATGTGTGTGTATTGATGTTCTGCATGTTTTTAAAGAAATTTCTCAAATTATACACTATTACATAATATAACTGCAAGAAACCAGTGAAAAAAAAACCAGCGTTGAATGTAATGAAACGCCATTTTCTGGGTGAGACCCGGAGGCTCCCCGGAGCTTTACTGGCTGATATGCTAATCTCAGACTTTGGCATCAGTCATGTGTATGGAGTTCTAGAGCCTACCGGAGACCACGGCCAGAACCTGGCCCCCTCAGAGAGGTAACGGGAGCAATGGCCTATAGAAACCCCCGTGTGGTTGGAAGCATTCTATGTCTGCCATCGACCGGGTCAAGCATCCAGAAAGGTAAGCATTCCAAAACAAACCCCTATTCTGGTGAAATTTGCTACCTAAAGCCGAACTAGTGGATAGAACTCTTCAACAGAAAACAAGGAAACTAGTATGACGTCATACGTCACCGCGCCGCTGTCTGCGCAGCTCCCCCCTCCCCGGGAGGGGGAAGGGGGAGCCCCAGACCTCCCACGCCGGCTATCCACCCATCAGTTCTGAGGCTGGATGTCAAAACACCGGAAAAACCGCCGACCGGAGGGAGGGAGGGTTGCTGGGGAGCCTCCGGGTCTCACCCAGAAAATGGCGTTTCATTACATTCAACGCTGGTTTTCTGGGGGGAGCCCCGTCGGCTCTCCGGAGCTAACTACCCACAGAGGAAGGTCAAAGGGACAGAACCGGGAGGCGGACACCACGCACCCCCCAAGGAGGCGAGACAACCGGCAGCAAACGCCAACCCAAGGCGCCACAGCCCTGAAAAGTCCCGGGAACAACACGAGAACAACGAGCAGCAAGGCCCCTGCACGAACACCAAAAATCCATGCCCGAAAGACCGCAAGGCCACGTCGCCCAGACAGCAGCGAGAGCAGCGAAGCCACGAACGCCACAGGCATGAGGGAAGAGCACAGGCAGCTTAGCCGCAAGAACACGGCTGACCACCCGGGACACTATCACCCGCGAATCGAGAAGAACAGAACTGGATCAACGCAAAACACGCTCCGGACCCAAACGCCGTGGCACGCATACAACAGCGGAGGGCCGCCACTGAACACAAAAAACGACACACCCCCGGCCCGACCAACGTAGCACCAACAAACCCTGGACCCCTCCAGAATGCAGCAGCCCCATCCCGCGCCAGAAAAGATGGAGACTGCTGCCACCGAACAACCAAAATGCTAAAACCGAAGGAGCAAGAAAACTCAGCGACTCGACCCCCAGAGGCAAAGGCCAAAAGGAAAGAGCCGACGAATAAACACACCGGAACCGAAGGGGCACTACCAACCGAGGAGAAGACAGAGCACGCTGACCAGAGACCAGGATGGTGCAAGCGGCGCACGAACAGGCCGGAGGTGAAACGACGCACAAGGCAGCTGACTAACGGTGCAGAAGCAACACCAAGACCGAAAGCAAGCTGAAGCGGCTCCGCCCGCGCCGCACGAAAAGAGGCGACAGTATGTGGCAAGATGACGGCCCCCAATCCCCACCAGAAAACCAAGCCGAGAGTAAACCAAGCTAACAAGAGTAACCACCTAAGAAGGGACAGGAAAAGGAAGGACCGCCAAAATACCCCATACTGCCGCCAAGAGAAGCACGCAGGTGGGACACCTACCACGAAGCCACCCGACCACCAACCGGAGGCGAGACCGCGAGGCAGAACATAAGCAGCCCCGACAAGGCCCCTCCGAGCCCAGGAAAAGGCGGAGCTGCGGGAAGATCTCGGGCGCGACCACCGAAACCCAGGCGGCACAAGGAGATGGAACGAAGGCAGACCCCCCCCCACCAGGTAGATAAAGAAAAAGAAAAAGAAAACCCCGCAAGAGGACAGCGTACCCAAGCGGAACAGAGCCGGCCGCTATGATTGGTAAAGACAAGCTGCACAGTACCCTGCGCACCACCAGTGCAAAAACTGCCCCTTACTCTAAGGCGAACAAGGGAGACAGAACACCCGAGCACACAAAGAGCGGCTGAAAACCAAGCAGTAAACGGCCAAGCAGGGGCAGGACCCAAGGAACTTGTGGAAGGTAGCCCCAAGCCCCAAGGGCAGTATTTACAGGGCACCTAGGGAAGGGAACCCTAGGCGCATGCAGCCCGAGTACTGGAGAATCACTCCCGGCTCACGCACCACCTAGAAAACAGACACCACACTCTAGGTACAGTGCTGAAACAACCACTGGAGCCGGAGCACATAACCGTTGCCTATAGCATCAGCCGAAGAACTGATGGGTGGATAGCCGGCGTGGGAGGTCTGGGGCTCCCCCTTCCGCCTCCCGGGGAGGGGGGAGCTGCGCAGACAGCGGCGCGGTGACGTATGACGTCATACTAGTTTCCTTCTTTTCTGTTGAAGAGTTCTATCCACTAGTTCGGCTTTAGGTAGCAATTTTCATCAGAATAGGGGTTTGTTTTGGAATGCTTACCTTTCTGGATGCTTGACCCGGTCGATGGCAGACATAGAATGCTTCCAACCACACGGGGGTTTCTATAGGCCATTGCTCCCCTTGCCTCTCTGAGGGGGCCAGGTTCTGGCCGTGGTCCCCGGTAGGCCCTAGAACTCCATACACATGACTGATGCCAAAGTCTGACATTAGCATATCAGCCGGTAAAGCTCCGGGGAGCCAACGGGGCTCCCCCCAGAAAATTCAAGCATTAAGCTGTTTATTCAATGTTACCTTGCAATGATTTCGGGGCTCAACATCCCCGCGGCCCGGTCCTCGACCAGGCCTCCTAATGTGCTTGCTATTTCTGTGCCATTCTTTCATGTGATACCATATCAAAGGCTTCCTCTAATGACTGGCTTACATTACCATAAGTAAGTAATTATCGAAAGGAGGCGCCAAGCCAGGGAGACTATGTAGCTACATTACCATAAGAAGGCAAGGTGATCCAAGAGCTGATAAATTTTAAACTCAAAATAAATCAACATTGCGAATTGTGTTGTTATCTCTGTCTTCAGGAGTGTCAAGCATTAGGGATCCTCTCGGACTTAGGTTCGAACCCTCATCACGGCCCTTGTGGATTTGTTCATTTGATGAACAAAATCACGCTATTGTGATTTCTGTGTGTAATTTGTTCATGGGGGCTGACATTGACCTGTGGTTTGCTAACTTACTGCAGAGTACCAGGGTATTGAAGTGTGGGGAACAGTAGGGAAGAGAGGCCTTCACCTTTGCCAGTAGAGGGCAAAAATGTATCTACAGGAACAAAATTATGAACTTAACTTTAAGAATTCAATTTCAATAAAAATCAACTTCTAAATAAAAATGTATTGCTATACTACAATATGAGAACAACACAAAAAATTAAAGAAAAAACTACTGAAGAGACTTTGAGAGAAAAAATGAAATCCATGCTAGTCAAAAGCTACAGGCAAGCAACGCATATGTCATACATCCTTCAACCAAGCATCCAACAGAGACATTATGAGAGTGAAGAACTAAGATGTGACAGCTAAATAAGAGGACAATGAAGATAAGAAGAAAGAGCTGGAGCAGGAGGACTTAGAAGAAAGAGCTGGAGCAGGAGGACTTAGAAGAAAGAGCTGGAGCAGGAGGACTTAGAAGAAAGAGCTGGAGCAGGAGGACTTAGAAGAAAGAGCTGGAGCAGGAGGACTTAGAAGAAAGAGCTGGAGCAGGAGGACTTAGAAGAAAGAGCTGGAGCAGGAGGACTTAGAAGAAGTGGAGGCATAGGAAAGGAAGACAGTGCATGAAAGTGAGGCACAAAGCAATTCACTACAGCAAGCAGGACGGACAATGATTTACGAGACTGTAGGCTGCAGGACAGGATTGTGAGCTGCAAGATAACTCACAATACAAAAGGATCAACACCTCTTGTTACTGAGTCATGGACA